CAAACCACAGCACCCAAAAGGAGAGAGAGAACAAAAGGGAATGCCCTGCCACAGAGGCAGGGTGGAATTGGGGGATGGAGGGTGGGATGGATACTGGAATCTGTGGTGGTGGAAAATGGGCACTGGTGGAGGGATGGGTACTCGATCATTGTATAATTGAAAGCCAAGCACAAAAATTTATAAGTCTCCAACTGTACCTCAAGGTGTTTCACTAATAAAAATTTTTTAAAAAAAGACTAATAAAAGTATCTTGGAGTCTAGCATGTCAAGTCAATAGATGATTATAAATTGATATAAGAAAACTTTTATTATTATTATTATTAAAATTACCACTATACTTACAACTAATTTCTTGAAAATATTTGCAAAGACTTTATCAGAATGTTTTTTCAAGAAAATCTTTCAGTGGGGGGTATGGTGCCGCCAGCAGATCAATCTGTACCTGTGAGGCAAATGTATCAGCAGCCTGATAATGCCTTCAGACTTCCAGATACCCCAAAATTGCTGCTGTGCCTTTGGCCAGACCCCAAAAACTTGGGGCAAAGTATACCAAGAAAGTAAACACCCAAAAGTTAGGTATGTGGGAGACACACCCACAAACCAACTCGGGCTCAGCTATATAGTTGGAGGCATGGCCTCTCTGGTTCCTGATCGAAGGATCGAAGTGCTTTACGGCCATGATCCCAGAGACTCAAAAACAAACCTCGAAACCCAGCGGCTTTTGGCAGAAATGCTTCTAGTCCCTGCAGTAGGTTATAGGTGCTGGGCCACCCCAGGTGGGAATAGGTTTTGTGTCTTGGCCTGTTTCCCCTGGCGGCTGGTGGCTGCCATCCTCCAGAGGCCACTGGACAGTCAGGTTTGGGCCCGCAGTGATGAGACACGCGGGGTCTCATGGGATGGGTGTGGAGCCGGCCTTTTCTCTCCCACCCCAACGAGACCCCAAGTCAATGCCAATGAACAGCCTCTCTGGCTCCTGATCAAGCTGCTTATCGGCCATGATCCCAGAGACTCAGAAACAAATCTCAAAACCCAGCGGCTTTTGGCAGAATTGCATCCGGACCGTGGAGTAGGTTACCGTCGCCGGGCCACCCCAGGGGGGAAAGGGTGTTGTCCCTCCGCCTGTTCCCCCTTGGCAGCTTGGTGGCTGTCATCCTCCAGAGGCCATTGGACAGTCAGGTTTGGGCCCGAAGTGACAGAGATATGCGGGGCCTCACAGAACGGGTGTGGAGCTGGCCCTTTCCCCCCCACCCCAGTGAGACCCCGAGTCGCCACCAATGAACCGCCTCTCTGGTTCCTGATCAAGTCATTAAATGTCCATGATCCCAGAGACTCAGAAACAAATCACAGAACCCAATGGCTATTGGCAGAAATGTGTCCAGTCCCTGCACCAGATTACTGGCGCTAGGCCACCCCAGGTAGGAACAGGTTTCGTGTCTTGGCCTGTTTCCCCTGGTAGCCTGGTGGCCGCCATCCTCCAGAGGCCACTGGACAGTCAGGTTTGGGCCCACAGTGACGAGACATGTGGGGCCTCACGGGACGGGGTTGGAGCCAGCTCTTTCCTCCCCGTCCCAATGAGACCCCGAGTCACCGTCCACGAATGACCTCTCTGGCTCCTGATCAAGCTGCTTAATGGCCATGATCCCAGAGACTCAGAAACAAATCTCAGAACCCTGTGGCTTTTGGCAGAAATGTGTCCAGACCCGGCAGTAGATTACTAGCGCTGGGCCACCCCAGGGGGAAAGGGTTCTGTCCCTCCACTTGCTCCCCCTTGGCGGTTAGGTGGCGCCATCCACCAAAGGCCACTGGACAGTCAGGTTTGGGCCCTCAGTGATGAGACAAGTGGAACCTCATAGGGTGGGAGTAGAGTCGGCCCTTTCCTCCCCATCCCAACAAGACCCCTCGTCGCCGCCCATGAATGGCTTTTCTGGCTCCTGATCAAGCTGCTTAATGGTCAGGAACAGATCTTGGAACCCAGCAGGTTTTGGCAGAAATCCCTCCAGATTTAATTGTTAAAATTTCAAAATTGCGCGGCCACTACTGTAGCCACACGACATCATGTGTTATTCATAACCAGCAGTAGAAGACACATTGTCTACCTTTTCAGCAGATCTGAGTGTTGGAGTAAAATCCCAAATAATAATGGTGGGCCTGGTGTCAAAATATTGAATGTAATCAAAGTAGAGAGAGAGTACTGTGGAAATCATCTGCCCCTTAGGTAGGGGGAAGGTGTGGGATGGAGGTATACTGGGGCTTTGGGGGGTGGATAATGGGCACTGGTGAAGGTACAGGTGTTTCATTGTATGACCGAGACTTAAACCCAAAAGCTTTGTAACTGCTCTCATGGTGATTCAATAAAAATTATAAAAAATGAAAAAAAAAAGGGTGGAGTTCATGCCAATTCAATCAGCTAATAAGTGGCTGAATAAATAGCAGTACTCCTACATAAAAAATAAATAAATGAAAATCTTTCTGGAACATGGCATTTCTGGGGAAATAAAACTGAATATTATAATTAAAAAAAATTCTGGGAAAGGTGCTAGGACAAGAAAATTGTGACATATCAAGTGGGAGCACATATTTTCCAGGTGCAAGTTCCTGAGTTCAATCCTCAGCACCGCCTGGTGGTACCTGGGCATTGCTGCATTATCCTCTATAAAAATAAAAGCCATAAAATAGGTCACATTAAGCTCTATTCCACGATCTATTTTTGGTCCAAATTCTGGTACTCAATATCAGGTGTACTTCTCACTACCTTATTTTTTTAATTTTCCATATTATTCTAACCTCTCCTTAATGTATTAATAAATTTATTTTTAGATACTTCAGTCTCTTCATTTATTTAATGAAACCAAATGTTGGGCCAGCCAGATATATTGGCTGTCTAGGATTAAACATCGTTAAGAGTGCCCAAGAGCCTCTAACTCTTGTTATAACATTTCTGGAGAAAATTAGCAAGCATTTCATTATTTTATAGGAAATACTTTAAAAAAGAAAACATTTTAGTACAAGGGTTTGGCACTTAGATATTTTTGTAAAATCCAAATTATTGCTCATGACCTTTGTTTCACTTGAAACATATTTAAGTATTTGAAATAGTCTGCTAGCCAGAATTTATAAGAATAAACCAAATGCATTCTCCCAACTTAAGTCACATGTACTATTTATATACATGTGCCTAGTTTATATTGGTTTGTAGGAAAAGTACATTATGTTTAAATAAAACAAGGGGAAGTATTATATTAAAACAATGTTGTCTGAGACCTCTTTGCCAAATTTGGTGCATCCTTAAGAGAATTTCAATTGAGAATTTTTAAATAGCAAGAACTCAGTGATTAAATAATTGTTTCAATTAGGAATTTTAAACAAATTCTCTAGTTAGCCAGATTTATTTTATTATTCTAAATGGACAACCATAACCACAATTATATTACATAAGACTACTGGTTAAAATTTTTTTAATTAAAAATTTTACTATACCAGGGCAGGACTGGTAGTATACAGTGGATAGGGTACTTGCTTGCACGCAGGTGACAGGAGCCTGTATGGTCCTCACAGCTCGCCAGAAGTGATACCTGAGTGTAAAGCAAGAACCCCTGAGCACCACTGATGTGGCCCAAACACATCCAACAATTTTTTTTTAAGCCAGTTGCTACAAAAAACCATCCTTTCTGGTTTCATTAGGCCCAGCAGTTATTTTGCATATGCAGCATTTCTGTTATACTTTTCACACAAAGCAAAATGCATTATGAAAATTATATTAAATAAAAAAATATTTAAAACAAGATTTTATTATAAAAGTGTGCTTTATTATAAGGAAAATTTAAATATAACCAACAATACTGAAAATAATGTAACTGGCATTTATAGCCTTGGTCAGAGTTCTTTTTTAAACAGGCATTTATTTGCTATTCAATGAATAGTTAACAATTTATGCAACAAAGCAGATGACTTGGAAAAGTGAATAAAGTTAGTTATACAGAATTATGAACCAGGAATTTGGGGTTTTGTGACTTTTTTTCTTGTTTGATGAGAGGGCTTTTAAAATAAAGTCTGAAATAGAAAACAAGTCATCCCCATATAGTAAGCTCTGTTCCTAACAAAGTCTGAAAAATTGTTACAAGTGTTCTAAAATGTGGTTATTAATACTTTACATACCTTATCTTCATGTATATATACACATTATCTGATTAGCATTTTAAAACCACATTTCCATTATTCAAGACCATAAGCATTCTCTAATAAAGAGCACACTAGCCACAGATTAATTTCACCCATGTATATTTCCTTGAAACAGTGTTTTCCAAAATTAAATTGCTCATGTAAGAGGGAACAATTGGCTAGAATTAATCTCAATACTGGGATCATATACATTCAGAAATCATGTAAGAATATATTGCTATGGCTGAATATAACTCGGGTAGCAGAATGATTATCACAATTATCACAATTATCAATAAAAATCTAGGCATTGAAGTTTATGCTGCACTTTTAACAATGAGTTTACATCAAAACAAATGGCAAGGCATATGGCATATAATCGTGTATTTGGAGTGGGCAGAAATTCCTTTTACTTTATGTGATTATGCTTTTAAAACTGTACTTCTACAAAGTTGGAGGAAATCTAGGAGGAAATCTAGGTGTCTGCAAAGCTTTGTATTATGTCGGCCTAATGAAGAACACAGAAATATCTTGTAGAAATGTTGATGTGGTATGGGTCCCAAAATATTTTTGTTATGAGGATTTTCATTGAGTGTTTATATAAAATCTTAAACTTTCAGAGGACAGGTAAGTTTAAATAGTGTTTTGAACAATGTATTTGTGACATTAAATATCAAACTAAAATTTTTAAAGATAAAGAACACAGAAAACTGCAAAATTAACAAAGGAAGCAGAGAAATGATTTATGAGGAAAATGTATTAATGATATCTCATCTTAAAAAACTCTTCCCTATAATCAGAATGCCTTTAAAACCAATAGAATATGTAGGCTAATGATACGATGCCAAAGAAGTCAAAATGTACTTTATTGCAAAAATATAAAGTCTTAAAATTGCATATGATGTTTTATACCATTTCACCAATAGGCCAAAGCCAGCACAAAAATTATCAAGCCAGAAAAACTTGAAAACAAACAAATTTTTGATTAAAATTGTTATATATATATATATATATATATATATATATATATAATGTGATGCCATGCTGTGGAGCATGATTCACTACCAAATTCCCTCTGACATGGGCACAGTCACTACCTTACCAATCTGAGCAAGTCAAAATGAATACCTATTGCCTATGGATAATGTCCTTTCATTATCTTCTGAAACATAGATATTTGCAATATATTACAATTATTCGAATCAATCTCTCAGTCCAATAATTTCATAGAGTAGAAAGTCATTTGATCAATGTGTTTATGATCTACTTTTTAGAAAGTGATGTTAAAGCATATTGACTATTAGATCACTACTCTGTTTACTGATACGTTGTTAAGTGTAAAATAAAAAAAAAAGGAAAAACCTGAAAAATCACAGAAAATGCTTGGCATCTACACAAACACAATCTCAGTGGACTAACCACTACTGTGTAATTTTGTCACTATAGGTCTTCTTGCTCCATACTTTTGCTTCATGCAGTGGGTTCAATGATATCCATGTTTGTTCCAAATAGGGCAACTAACTGTTCTTCATAGGTCGCAATGTTCCTTTTCATGATATCCATGCAAGGTCCCAAAAGCCTTTCAAATGCTTGCACATCCATGGCTAAGAAAAGGGGAGAACAACAACAACAAAAGTTCTTTACTATCGGTATCATTTCTAAGACACTTACGTTACCTATTTTGCACGATGTTAGTAGTGCAGTTGTATTTTTAAATAAACATCAAATACAAGAAAAAAGAATAAAACTTAAAAACAATTTACGTCCACAGCAGAAATAAGGTTCCTTGGCAATAGTGATGTGCAAAACTAGGTTGGTGGGGTATTACTGGTCCAGGTTAAAAAAAGAATGAGGGACTGTTATTGGCCAGACCTTGGCATTTTAAAAACTAAGTTAGTTTTGATGTTTTTGTTTCAGTAATAAAAACTTCTTAAAGGCAGCATGAGTGTGTTTGCTATCCTGTTTTCCTTTTTCAAGGTTTACGTGAAACCAGATAACAAAGACCAACTATCTTTTATTATTCTTACTCTTAACATAAAACTGTTTGGTCAATCAAAATGGTGGCCAAGGGGCTAGAGCTATAGTATGGTGGATAGGGTACCTGCCTTGCATGAGGACTGACCTGGGTTTTAATCCCCAGCACCGCAAATGGTCCCCTAAGCCAGCCAGGAGTGATCCCCGAACACTGACAGATGTGGCCCCAAGACCCAAAAAATAAACCAAACAAAAGTGTTTTTTGTGTTTAGTAAATGTTGAAAATACTTATATATTATACTTATACATAATCTACGCAAAGAACTCATACAACATATCACATGTGAGAATAGCTTACATCAAAAGAAAAATTATTGGAAGGCAGCTATGCTCACCTCTATACCACCAATGCTTACAAAAGAAAAAGTATTGGGGAGAGAGTAGAGAAAACGTTACTCTCTGTATTGCTGGTAGGAATGCAAAGGTACAACCATTTTAGAAAACAGTATAGAACATCCTTGAGAGGCTAAAAATAAAGGTACCGTATGATCCAACTAGGAATCTATCCAGAAAAAAAAATACAACCCTCCTCTTCCCCCGCACAGACATTTACACAAATGTTACTTACAGCCCAGTGTTTACTGAATCACTACATGGAAAGAATCAAAGTGAAGATATGGTATGTTTATACCAAGGAACACCATTTAGTTATGAAAAATGATAAAGTTTTGCAATTCCAAGAGATTTATGTGAAGCAAAATATATTAAAAATAAAAGACAACTATTGGATGATTTTACCAGTATGAAAATAAGAATATAAAATTGATAAACAGACAAAACAAAATAGAGATGCAGACAGTTGTATATTGACAACAGAACTAAGATCACCTCAGGAGACACATACAGAGAGGAGAGAAATTATAAAGGAAATATATAGAAGCTGGAGAGGTTATACAGCGGGTAAGGGATTTTGCCTTACACACATTCAACCCTGGTTCCATCTCTGGCAACTCAAATGGTCCCCTGAGGCCCACTAGGAGTGACCCCTGGGCACAGAGCCAGGAGTTAGCCCTAACCACTGCTGAGCGTGGTCCAGAAATCAAAAGGAAATAAACAAAATCTAAAATAAGACAAAAAAGTGATCTATAAAAATCATAAAAATATATCAAAAATTAAAATGATCAAAAGTCATAAAAAGAAAACCTATCTCTGGAAAGCACTTATAAAGAAAAATATTCTATGCACATGCCTACCAAAAAGTTATCTTTCTCCCCTACCCTCAAACTGGAATCCAAAAGTTCAAAACATTTACAAGGGAGGATGATTATAAATAATCTATAACATTTATACTTAGCTAATAAAAGAATGTTACCTTTTCACATAATAAAGTAAGAAAATATCTGAGCTATAATGAGTGGAAAAGTAGTTTACAACGTGTTAAAAACAGGAGACCCAGATTGGTGGTAAGAATTAAGTAGTGGTGCACTGACCTCGCCTGTCGAGACCCTGAGTTTGACATATAGCAATGAATAACTCCCACCCAAACAACACCACACAGTTTGATCCTGGTGTCCCCCAAGAAAAAGAAAAAAGCTATGGAAAGTTTTTTAAAAAGAGAAGGAATAATAATAGAAAGTAGATACCACTGGGGGTGGGGAGTGACTCAGATTTTCTACCTTTCTGTACTTCATAAACTTTTCTTTAATATGAATATAACACTTTATTAATTAATGGATCTATACTCACATAACCTTTCTTTTATAGGGTCTAATGTCTCTCTTCAGGAAAATGACCTGTCAGTTTCTAATTGTCCTCTCTTTCATCCAAGTGTAACACTTGATTCCTATCATACTTAGATAAATTCTTGAAAAGAAGTAACTTCATAGAGAAGTTAATTCAGAGGATAGCAGAAAGCCTTAAGAAAACTGAAGCTAAGTTCATAATAGAATCCACAGAGTGACTATTACTGTTGAAGATTCGGGGTTTTGCTTCGGAGGACATCTATAGTGCTGGGAGTGACTTCTAACTCAGTGCTGGCGGTGAATGTGGTACCTGAGATAACTAACCCTGAGCTCCTGATTATAAAGCATGCACTCAAGCTCTCTGAGCGATGGCCCTAGCCCATTCTGAAACAGTTGTGTTAAAAAAATAAAAAATGTCTCCAATATTGCCAGCCCTGAATTTTACCTTTCATTGTTGGTTTTTTTTTTTCCCTTTACTTTTTGGGTCACATCTGGCGATGCACAGGGGTTACTCCTGGCTCTGCACTCAGGAGTTACTCCTGGCGGTGCTCAGGGGACCATATGGGATGCTGGGAATCGAACTCTGGCCGGCCGCATGCAAGGCAAACGCCCTACCTGCTGTGCTATCTCTCCAGCCCCACCTTTCATTGTTCAAGTAAGTTATTTATTATATGTAAATTAAGTTTTATCCAGAAATCTTCTATAGTTATGGAAGGCATTTCTGTTAAACTAATTGGTATTTTTTTTTACCATTTTACAGTTGAACAATGATAATCTTAATGTTCCTTGGATAAACCTGAACCTTCAATTCCCAGGACTAGGATGAGTAATTATTTCCACAGACATTCCAGCTTGCCCTGCAGAGTTCAACATACTTCATAAAAATACTGTTGCAACCTATTTTGTTGAAGAAAACCATGCACAGCATTTATTTAAAAGAGGAGTTGAAACACTCAGAATTCTCAACCACCAAACTAAGAGGTTACTTCATGCATGTACAAAAGAATATATACATGTGTACATATAAATGTATGTGAAATTTATTTACTTTTTTTGTGAAGCAAGACAATTTTTATTGAAGCTCATTTAAAAAGATGTGAGGGTAGAGAAAAGAAAAGTATGTGCCCCAGAGATAACACAGGCTTCTCCTGAGTGAAAATAAGCAAGCAAAGAAATAGAGACAAACAAGCGATGTAAGTGTTGACTCAATGGAGAACACGGACTTGAAGAGCAAGTCATACATGAAAATGTTTAAAGAAAAAAAGATTCCTACAAACAGATTTCATAATTCAATGAACCCTAACTTTGTTGGATTTTTTGTCGGCCCCACAAAAACTTGTGAAGTCAATAAAACATTCGATGCAGCATGAATCCATAAAATGCAGCCCTGACAATTTCTAGCAGAAGCAAGCCCGCTGTAGGGTTTCCTACCTAAACATTTGACGGTCCCGATGGCGTGCGCGGAAGCTGCTCGAGGTTTGTTAGTTACCAGAGCAAGTTCTCCAAAGTATTGGCCCCGAGAACACCGAGCAATCTCCACTGCACCATTCTCCTCCACTTCGGATATACCCTGACAAGGTAATCGGAAGTATAAACTTTTATCAGTTTCGGAAGGAAAATTCAATCTTACTCATTCCTTGGCAATACTATGAAGATTTCGTAGACTTAACTGGTGCTTACCTTTCTTTTCATAGTAATTTTCACTTCCCCAGACTCTACAATGAAAAAGGAATCAGCTGAGTCTCCCTATCAAAAAAAAAAAAACAGAAGGTGAAAATGCAATTTAGTGGGTGCAAGCCTATTGCCCATCACAGCCCTGAAACTGAACCCAAACCTTTTGTACCTAGATGATTTTACTGAGAAGTCAAACCCTACTGGAACAGCCCATCTCGCTTTCTAAACAGATAAGGTTCAGTCGTCAATTACATGACAATGATTACATTTATCAAAATTACTCAAAACAGTACATACGCTGCCATAGTAACATCCAGTCTGTTAAACTCTACCATAGCAAATCTAGTCTGCTAACTATAGACCAAACATGATGGTCACTTAATACCTCTATTGCAAATCTCAACACCCAAAATGAGAGAGCAAAATGGAATGCCCTGCCACAAAGGCAGGGTGAGGTGGAGGGGACGGGGTGGGCATGGTGGGAGGGATGCTGGGACCACTGGTGGTGGAAAACAGGCACTGGTGGAGGGATGGGTATTCAATCATTGTATGACTGAAACACAAGCACGAAAGTTTGTAAGTCTGTAACTGTACCTCACAGAGATTCACTAATAAAAAAATTTTTAAAAATAAAAATCTAGTCTGTTAGAATATAATAACACAGGGTGGGTAAGAATTTACCTCCAACTTTGGTCTGGGTAACATCACTCATAGTCCTGCCCCAGTGGCGGCCCCAATACCCAGTGGCATCATTACTCCAGCAGCAAGAGTCTGTTGACCATTATTGGGCTTCTCAAGAGGAGCTAATGTAGGCATCTGGTTGCCCTAACATTTCAAGCATTAATATGACTCAAGATACTCCACTGTCTCCCAGAGAGGAGAGAGCACACACACTTATTAGGAAGCACTGGATGTTTGTACTGCTAGGACTAGATGTTTGGCTGGGACCAAAGTTGGAGATGCCAGTTTGCTGACACACTGCCTCCAGGCCTTGACATGACCTTCTAACTGAAAAGTGTGGCCATGTAGCACAGCAGACACATTTTTTTTTTTGGCTTTGGACACTGCCTTGAGTTCCACTCATCTCTGCTGAAATAAATGGTATGTCAACAAAGGATAACAGACACCAACTTTCCTGAGCCTCTCAAGGTGATTCTAGAGAAATCGGTATTTTTTAAATGTCCAAGCAGAATTCAAGAAATATATTATCAGAGTACATGACAAAAAAAGGAGCTGAATTTAGATTTCTATAGTATGATACAGACTTGTTTCATAAACGTTAAAAGACAACTAAAATCATAAACACTCTTAATATTCATATTTTTATGATCTTTTTACATCAAGTTTTTATAAATTTCATGTCACATTTTCAAGTGCTTTGGACATAATAGGTCTCTAGAGTAATGTGTAATTTTTTCATTTTCAAAATATGCTCAAACTGTACGTAAAATCAGTGGAATCGGAATGTCTTTGGACTGTGCCAAAGTCAGTTTTATAATTTTGCTATTGTCCAACAGCAATTCAAGATTTCTGGAGAGAATTTGGGCCTCACTGAACTGTTTTTGGTCTATATATCTATTATGTACATCTACACTCATTTCAAAACAAAAAGCTATATGAACCATTTTAAAGGTGCCCTAAATTTTGTTATTCACCCACTTATACAATTTAATATATGTGTTGATGTCATTCATCAACAAGCATATATAGAACATTTCTATGTCTATAACTGGCCGTGTTTAACAGTTTGACTCCTGGCTGTTCTGATTCTACTTTATTTGTTTGCCTTCTAAAACAATTATTCTTTCCTCAGTTCCACAGACCTTGGATCTTGTTTCACGTATACCAAATGAAGAAAATATTTTAGATAAAAATACTTACTGTAAAATAATATTACATAATCTGTTTAAATTTGTTTAAGTCATTTACTTGACGCTTTTTAAAAAATGTAATTTGGAAATTTAGGTAGAACCATGTGCATGCTTGTGACATCAACTGTCTTCATAAGTCCTGCTTCATGTTAGCTCTCTTCTCCACGGTATTGGTAAAGTCTTAATTTTGCCTTGTTTTTGTTTTCTTTGGGGGCGGGGGGCGGCAAACCTGGCAGTGCTCAGGACTTAACTCTGGCTCTGAGCTTGGGGATCATTCCTGGTGGTGCTCAGGGGACTACATGGAGTGCTGGGAATCAAACCTGGGTTGGAAGCATGCAAGGCAAATGCCCTACCACCATACTATCTCTCTGACCCCTGTAATGAGATCTTAGAAAAGCATTAGGCCAAGGAGTCCATTGTCCTATGTAATGCCCAAAAGTCCATAGAGTATGTGGCACAGTGTGTGTATGGCACAGAGTATATATGGGCTCAGGATGTCTCTGGTGTAGCATGTGGCCTACTTGGCTAACTACATCAGGGAGAAGTACTTAGGATTTAGTACATCAGGATTTAGTACAAACTAATTATGCAAATCCATATAATCTGAGGTACCTTCTGGGTCCTCATGAATCTCATGAACTACTCACTTTTTTTTCCTCTTGTAGAAACATTTTTTTCACCTACCCACAACATTTTAATCTTTATGTACATAAGAATTGAATGTCATGGACAAATACAAAATTATGCAGAAATCCTTTGATGGTTTAATACATCTTCATTAGGAATAATTATATAAATACAAATATTCACAGAGATTAATGGCTGTAAATTAAACCATTTTAATAGGTCATTTGGTAAATCAATATTCATTTAATCCATCACTACATACTAATTATAGACAACACATGAAAAATTTATAAAGACATAATGTACACGAAACCTTTTTTGAAGCATAATCCAGGAATTACAAAAGAATTTTATACCTGAGCAATTATTTGTTCCCCATCGTTGTATACTTTGGTGCCTATCACATCTACCACTTTCAGGCGTTCAGAAAACTATAAAGAATAAAGACAGACAATATTAAGTTGGAACAGGTGAATTCAATGATCTATCTATTCAGAAGTTAAAAATTAGTGTCTTGTGGGCCAAATAAACCAAGTAGGTATGGATTTGTATGTGTGTGTATCTGCTGTATCAGTGAACTGAGAGCATTTAATAATAATTTCTCATGAAAAGTGGGCATTTCCGACTCCCATGTAAAATCAGGACACTTGGCAATACTCTGCACCCACTGACACATGGCAACAATAAGCTATGATGGAACCCGAAGCTGTTCTTTAAATGAGCACCTGTTCTCCAGCTTACCATAGTCTTGTCCTGGCTTGATTTTCTTCTTTATGTTACTTGCTTAGCTCTAAAGCATGTAGAGTTCCAGCTCCTGGTCTATTTTTATTTAGACATATTCTGCTAGAGAAGATCAGCTGCCTAATAAGTATTTTGTAAGGTGGCCAACATTTCTAACAGGCATAAAATGATGAACTGACCATGAGATATTTCAGTAGATGAGTCAGTTCTAAACCCCAAATTCTTAGGCCAGGATGCTGAAAGAATGATGCCACCATCCACTAAGAAAGGGAGGAGAGGGGAGGAGCTGGTTTGGGTCAGGTTACCCTGGGAAGGAAACATACAGTGGTGGGCATTCGGATAACATTAGCCTGCCCTTCTAGAAAGGGACTGACCGCTGATGTCAATTTTAGGCGGCATGAGCATACATACAGCATTTAAAGTCAGGGATTTAATAAGTGGTTAAGGGTAGGCTGGAGTTAAAAAAAAAAAACCCATGAGAGAGATCCTGTAAGGGTTATTTTAAGAGGAAGGCAGAAGAGAAATAAAGTGCAGACATAACTGAAGAGAGGACGTGAGGACCCACTGTTCAGATAATCTCTCCTGTGAGTCTGAAGCTAATGGTGGCTGCCTGCATTTCCATGGTATTTTAAGCCCACTGTCAGATAAAACCCATATATCAGCCTGCTAAAAAAGCTGGTAGCAGTCTATCATTTGTAGACTGCAAAGTGAACATACAATAAACAGCAAAAGAATTATTTATATGCAAATAATATAATTTAACCTTTTCAGGTGAAAATATTGATACCTTATTCAAACAAACCTTCCTATAAGTACTAAATATTCCTAATGAAACAGAAAATGCTAAAGCAAAATGAAAGCAAAATCATAGACTTACCTCCAATGATTTAAGGAATGGCAGTGACTCAATAAAGCTTTCATACATTTTTCTTTTTTTGGCATTATTTTTTACAATTATCCTCCTGAAGGTTACCCTGTCCTAAAGTCAGAACAACAAATACAATTATTAGAATATTACAGATTTTAAAAAAATGTTTCATGGGATAAACAGTCTTACTGAGTTTTATTTGATTCCCTGTACTGAACAAGCAGTAGCTTTTGAGTATGAAAAAATATTAAAATTGCCATACTTTCTTTCTCTGTTTTTTTTTGGGGGGGGTGTGCACTCCCAGTGATGCTCAGGGGACCCATGCAGTCTGGGGTAGAATCTAGGCCTCCCGCATACAAAGCATGCACTCGACCCTTTCAACTCTCTCTCCAGACCAAAATCACTATAGTTTAATACAACGAATTTAAGATGTTTACTTCTTCACACATGAATTATAAAACCATATCAAATGTTATTTTCATTATTTTAAAAGAAACATCTGTTGACTTCTAGAAATCATACCAACATACAATTGGAATATCCCCACAAGGGGGCACTGTTGTACCTTTTAAAAAGTCTATGCTCACCCCCCCCACCCCCGAAAGATTTAAGCTATATTGACCTACAACATTGGAAATTAAAAACTGATACACTTATGAATTACAAAATGCACTCGAAGGTGGGACTGTTTAACCTCTTACATAATTACTATTTTCTTATTTTTAGATATGAACATTCAGCAACTCTCTTAGCAACATTTATGTTTGACAATTAGCACTGGTAACTATAATCACTTTTCTGTATCTTAGATCCCCAGAACTTGCTCATCTTAGAACTTGAGATCTGAACCCTTCGAACAACATGTCCTCATTTCCCCACCCTGCCTCTGGCAACACCATGGTAAAATCTGTTTCTCTTAGTTTGGACCAGCACCAGATTCTCTGACTGTGGATGACAGAGCTGGATGTTACAAAATCAACTTTACGGGACAATGTCAGTATTTTTATAAAATTTTTTTACTAGAAGAAATTGCAGGAGTGCATTTCTTTTTCTTTCTCTTCTTGCAGGGTAGGGGGTGTCATAGCCAGCAGTGCTCAGGGCTTAGTCTTGGATCTGTGTTCAGGGATCACTCCCAACAGTGCTCAGGGAACCAATGAGGTGCTGGGGATTGAAAGTAGCGTGGAAAGAAAGCGTCTTCTGTGCTATCTTTCCAGCTCTATAGATTGCTGTTTTTCTTTAGTAAAGAAATTATAATATGAGATCATGAGAAGTTACTCTTTTCAGGTTTTTGGCCATAAAACCACTATATCAGTTTTATTTCTTAATGTGAAGGCACAGAGAAATGGCAACTTTCTTGAGGAATATCCATTTTCAGCCTTAGTATTTCTTCCCATAACTTGAAAAGGTGCAGAACTCAATTAAGGAAGAAGGAGAATTTTTAAGAGCTAACAACAGAAAACTATGGCTTTCCTACAAATTTGTTTTGAAAAAATACCTATAAAACAATTTCTAATTAAGAGCCCTCAGAATTGTGCTATTTTGTATGCACTGATAAACAATTATGCTATTTTAATATAAAAATTGGATTAATAACTGACTTGCCAACCCACTAAAGATACATTTTTAAAAAACTGTATAATGACCAAAAAAAAGTCAGCATGGTTGAAAGTCTTCAGGAAATTAGCATCTTATTCTCCAATCTCGTTTATTACAATTTAGTAATGGTGGTAATTTGCATTTCCTGTACGTGTAATCACTTTTTTTCCAATAGAAAATTTTACAAGGTGATTAGAAAAAAGTGAAATGATTTTGAAGTCTTCCTCTACATCAGAACTAGACAGAGCCTAGCTTCTTAAACCATGGGCTCACAATAACTGGATGTGGGGTGTAGCAAAAAAAAAGTAAGTGTATTTTAAATATTTCTAGTTATTTATATACCGATGCACAACTGGGATCACATAACAATCTGTCAGGAAAGAAACAGAGTTGTGAATGGAAAATATTTAAGAAGTGCAGAGACAGAGTATTATAATAAGAAAGAAAATAAAAAAGATTTAAGTCACAGACTTTCAGTATTCAAAAGCTCTGCCTTTAAGGGATCATTAATCCATATTTCATATAACTTTCAGGTGATTCTGAGATATACTCAAGTTTGGAAATTAGCTGCAATACTTTTACTTGGACAGTTTATTACAAAACAGAGAAGACTGGACATGGTTCAGCAATGCAGAAATCAACCTCCCTGAGCTATAAGGCTCAGGAAGAGTTTCCAATCAGTGGCTGACCTTTCTTCAATAAAGGTGACAGTGGTCCAGCAATTGCCACTGTGACATCTGTTTTCATCTTGGTGATTTCAATCATCTCTTGGTCAAGTAAGTCAGTTAGTTAACTTTGGCTCACAGTGATCCAGCATCCTTTACTATTAAGACTATCCCATTAGAGACCTTTCTTGGAGTATTAACTTGTGATGTTTGTACCAGTATGACACAGGTTTGACGAGTTGGTTTCTACCTTCCCCAAAAGAGTGGTTAGTTGGGCAACAGGCATTCAAACTGTTACATTTAAGTACAATTTCTCAATTTTTTAAAAAGTAGTCTCACTTATTCATGTGCCTTCAAGGAAACCCTCAAAAACAGCCATTTTAATTGCACATAAAGATTAGTCAAAAAGAAAATTCTAAGGATACATAATCTTTCTCGGGAGTGTGAGACTCATCAACACTGGGAATGCAAGACCTTTATGGCTAGTTTAAGAACTCTCGAGCAGGGAGGAAACTGGCATTCAAGAGGCCAGCCCACAAAACACCTGCACTTCTCTGCTTTGGGTTTTTCACTTTGCTGCTTTTATTCAAACCTTCAGTGGCCCTTAAAACATCGTAGATGGCAAGTTTCTCTCCATCTGAAACACTGTCAATTTCGCTTACGTAATTCTCCACACATTTTGTTTTAGGGTCGCACCCAGAATTGCTGGGGATTACTTTTGACTCTGTGCCCAGGTATCCCTTCCAGTGGTACTGGGGAGGGAGGACCTATGGGATGTTGAAGGGGTGGGGTGGTCAATCCCAGGTTGGCAAGCATCCTACCTACTGTATCATTTCTTTGGCCCTGACAGCACTTTACATTTTAAAGAACTAAACAGGGACCAGAGAAATAGTACAGGAGTTAGGATGCTTGTCTTGCTGACTCAATCTCTGAAACTGCATATGGTCCCTGCAACACTTCCAAAAGTGACTCCTGAGCCATTAGGAGTAAGCCCTGAGCACCACCAGTTATAGCCTCCAAATAAACAAAAATCTAAACAGTAATTTCCTTGTTCTAATAATGAATATGTGCATATTTTCTTTCATCAAGAGATTCTTCTTTTTTTCTTAAAATTTATTTTTTGTTTCATTAGTGAAACACCATGAGGTACAGTTGTAGACTTACAAGTTGTTGTGCTTGGGTTTCAGTTATACAATGATCGAGTACCCATCCCACCACCGGTGCCCATTCTCCACCCTAACCAATTCCAGTATCCCTCCCACCCCCCCCATCCCCCATCCCACCCTGCCTCTGTGGCAGGGCACACCCTTTTGTTCTCTCTCTCCTTTTGGGTGCTGTGGTTTGCAGAAGAGGCATTGGGTGGCAGTCATGTTCGGTCTATAGTCTACTTTCAGCATACATCTCCCATCCTGGGTGGATCTTCTCAGCACCCTTTATTTGTTGCTCCCTTCTCTATCTGAGCTGCCTTTACACCTAGAGTGTGTGGCTGGCCTCAAAGCCATGGAGTGAACAACCTGGTATTTATCACAGCTGTTCTTGGGTGTTAGTCTCTTATTTTGTTACTTTATGTTACCCAGATGAATGCAATCTTTCTATGTCTGTCCCTCTCTTTCTGACTCATTTCGCTTAGCATGATACTTTCCATGTAGTACCACTTGTATGTAAATTTCATAACTTCATTTTTTCTAACAGCTACATAGTACTCCATTGTGTAGATGTACCAATGTTTCTTTAACAAGTCATCTGTTCTCGGGCACTCAGGTTTTTTCCATATTCTAGCTATTGTAAACAGTGCTGCAATGAACAAACAAGTGCAGATGTCACTTTGACTATACTTTTTTGCCTCTCCGGGGTATATTCCCAGGAGTGGTATTGCTGGGTCAAATGGGAGCTCAATTTCTAATTTTTTGAGAATCGTCCATACTGTTTTCCAAAAGGGTTGAACCAGTCGGCATTCCCACCAGCAGTGAAGGAGAGTCCCTTTCTCGCCACATCCGCGCCAACACAGGTTGCTTTTGTTCTTTTGAATGTGGGCCAGTCTCTGTGGTGTGAAATGATATCTCATTGTGGTTTTGATCTGCATCTCCCTGATGATTAATGATGTGGAGCATTTTCTCATGTGCCTTTTAGCCATTCGGATTTCTTCTTTGAGAAAGTTTCTGTTCATTTCATCGCCCCACTTTTTGATGGGGTTGGATGTTTTCTTCTTGTGGAGTTCAACCAGTACTTTGTATAGCCTTGATATCAATCCCTTGTCGGATGTGTATTCAGCGAATATCCTTTCCCATTCTGTAGACTGTCTTTGTATTTTGGTCACCGTTTCTTTTGAGGTGCAGAAGCTTCTTAGTTTAAGATAGTCCCATTTGTCTATCTCTGTTTTCACTTGCTTGGCCAGTGGCATGACATCTTTGAAGACACCATTCAAGAAGATACCATTTGAAGATAGCGTCAATGTCATGGAGGGTTTTGCCAACTTTGTCTTCAATGTACCTTATGGATTCCGGTCTGATGTTGAGGTCTTTGATCCATTTTGATCTTACTTTTGTACATGGCGTTAGGCAGAGATCTGAGCCCAGTTTTTTGCATGTAGCCGTCCAATTTTGCCAGCACCATTTAATAAAGTTAAAAAGGATTTCCTTACTCCACTTCGCATTTCTTGCTCCTTTATCAAAGATTAGATGATCATATGTTTGACGGGAGATGTCAGTATATTCAACCCTGTTCTATAGGTCTGCAGTTCTGCCTTTGTTCCAGTACCATGCTGTTTTAATTATTACTGCTTTGTAGTAGAGTTTGAGGTTCGGAATTGCTTTAGCTATTCGTGGGGGCTTATTGTTCCATATAAATTTCAGGAGTATTTGCTCCATTTCGTTGAAGAACGGCATGGGTATCCTAATAGGGATCACATTGAATTTGTAGAGTGCTTTGGGAAGTATTGCCATTTTGACAATACTAATTCTTCCGATCCATGAACAGGGGATATTTTTCCATTTCCTCACGTCCTCTTTTATTTCCAAAAGCAGCATTTTGTAGTTTTCTTTGTACAGGTCCTTTACTACCTTAGTTAAGCTAATTCCTAGGTACTTGATTTTCTGGCGTACAATTGTGAACAGGATTGTTTTCTTCATGTCATTTTCTTCTCTCTCATTATTTGCATATAGGAAAGCCATGGATTTTTGGGTACTGATTTTATAGTCTGCAACTTTACTATACAAGTCTATCGTTTCTAGGAGCTTCTTGGTAGAGGTTTTAGGGTTCTCTAAGTATAGTATCATATCATCTGTGAATAGTGAGAGCTTCATCCAGAGATTCTTATCAGCTAAATTCATTTCAGAGTCAAAGGCTGCATGTGACGGGATAAGGTACCATGATTTCCGTAATGCTATGGAGAGAAGATGCTTTGATTCAAATGGTCTCAACCCATAAGCACCTCCCATGACAGGCTGAGAGGAACTGCCATACAGATGCAATTTAGCACCGTGGAATGGGCGACTTCCAATGAGTCAAGTAGGAAACACAAGTGTTGTCACTATTTTCCCAATTCTATGCCACTGGACATGTGTCTGCAGGGGGATCTCTGTGGGGCAAAAGAGGCTGGGGATGGCAGGCAGCTCCCCAGGCCTGCCAAAGCAGCATTCGGGTCTTCTGTAAGTCGCTGGATGATCCCCACACTGAGTTCCACAGTCCCCGCCAATCAACTTTATGAATAAGGTTATTCTGTAACCTGACTGCCTGTAAAACTTTTCGATCTTGTATCAGTATAATCAGTAAGAGATTTTTTGCTAAGCCCATTCTTACCCCCCAGAGAGTCAGATGCCATCTCTCTGCCCTGGAACAGGAGGAGTTCAAAACAAGACAAAAGGAAAACACACACACATGCACACTCAATTCAGAGTGTAACAAGCATCCATGCATAGGAGGATCCAGAGAGTCTGTTTTTAGTAGTTTCCCAAATTCCAGCATGCAGCCGGCACAGCTGGCGAACTAGGGAAGTCCAGATAGACCCTGTCTCCAGAGTTTGAGTGACTGAGTTCAAATTTCAGATGAGGCCCAAGGGGGGGGAGGAGTGTCTCATAGGCTTCAGATGATGAAGAGAGCAGTGGTCAGGAAGGACCAACTACACCTCCTACACATCGGGGAGAACAGACAACCCTGTCCTCAGAGAAAATGACAATGAAGGCTCTGTGTGTGTGTGCGTGCGTACGCATGCGTGCGTGGGTGGGTGGGTTGGGGGGGATGGGAGAGGGGTGGTGGTGGCAGTTTTTCAAGAGTGCTGAAAAGAATTGTATTCTGAATTTGTGGTTATCTTCCTTCAAACCAGGCAACTAAGCTGCTGGCTCAAATGGGAGCAAGAACATGAAGATTTAACTCAGCAAAGTCTACTTTTCCCATCTTCTCAGTATCTAATAGCTTTTTAATAAATTCCCGAATGATGATCCCAAGTCAGTCTACCAATTATAACTAAAATACTTTACCTTGTTTGATATATTTGTACATTACAATTTTTCACTTTTTAAGCAAATAGCAACATTGAAGCCAAAGAAATATTCCACTCACCAAACCCCACAGAGCCCCAGGAGAGGTAGCGGTGATCGTAGCTGCTCTGGGTGTATTGTACATTAAGGCCAGCTCGCCAAAACTCCCACGATTATCGTAGTTACCCACACATCTTCCAACGCCATCACATTTCACATAAATATCAAATGTTCCTCTGCCAGACATATGTAGATTAGAGGCAAAAGTAATTCAAGTGAGGTTTCATGATAGTATGTGCTTGCTATGGAAAATAAGACTGCAATAAACATTTATGATTATAAAAATGATAAATGTATAACTTTTTACATTCTTTAATAAAGGACTTCAATAAACAGCATCTGCACTGACAACCATGCATATCAATCCACTGACTGCAGCTATAAGCATGGAAACAGAGAAGGTTCTCAGCAACTTCCTGATGTCATCAAAGAATTTTATACCTACAATGAACATGTATTACTTCTGTGATACAAAGAAACACCTAAAGTGTTTAATAATATGAAGGTCCTTAGGGCTGAGAGATAGTTTAGCAGATCGAGTGCTTGCCTTATACGCAGTCAACACTGGTTTGATCCCATTGTACTCCACATGGGTTCCCTAAGCACCACTAGGAGTGATTCCTGAGTACAGAGCCAGGGATAAGCCTGTACAGACAGATGTGGACCCCAAACCAAATCAACCGCCCCCCCTCCACACACAAAATATACCAGCCAAATAAGCATAAAAACTTAGAAAAGAATACTGAAGTTCCTTCAGACCATAAACAGAAGGAGGCAAGCCATGACATGCAGACTGGCTGCCTGCTTTGGCAAATAAAGTTTTATTGGTGCACAAACACATCAGTGGATTTATGTAACATTCAAAGCTGGTTTGTGCTCAGCAGGAGAGCTGAATAATTTCAAGAGACATCCGATGGCTGGCAAAGCCTGAAATATTTACCTCTCTCTTTTATATCATATGGTCCTTTATGATATGCGGATCCACATTCTAAAGTGAAAAACTGCATAAATACAGATGAAATATCTGATCCTGGTCTTTTCTGTAGTCTTTCTGACCTGATCTTATTGGAGTTCTTTTTCTAGGAAAATAAAATTTAGTTTGCATGTCTGCGGCACTACATATTATCAAGATCCAATATTTATTCAAGACATTCTTCCTGAGCAGGACTGTCTTCTCCTAGACTGTATTTTATTAGAGAACATGGATTTAAGGCTTTGCCAAAGCACCTGGGAGGCAGATAAGAGAAATTCTTTGGCATTATTCTGTTGGTGAAACTCTTAACAAAGACAAAAAAGGGAGTGCTTGTAAGATCAGAAAAGAATTATGCTTCGTAAAGACACAACAAAAGCAAAGCCTTAGCAGACAAAAGACACTAATGAATAAGGGTGAGAACAGTTTGTTTTTCATATAATTCATGGGTAGGACAGTTATTTCAAGGATGGTGTCTAGAATTTGTTTCATAACCCCTTTGCACTAAACCTTTTTTTTTTTTTGTTTAACCATAGCCAGCAGTACTCAGGATTTACTCCTGGCTCTGTGCTCAGAGATCACTTCTGGTGGGGCTTGGAGGACCATGAAGGGTGTCGAGGCTCAAGTCCAGGTCAGCTGCATGCAAAGCAAGCACCCTACCCACTATGCTATCTCTCCAGCCCCTAAAAACATTTTCTTTTCCTCTTTTTATTGTTTTGGTTTCTGGGTCATGCCTGGTGATGCTTAGGGATTGCTCCTGGCTCTGCACTCAGGAATTAGTCCAGGTGGAACTCAGAGGACCATTTGGGATGCCAGGGACTGAACCTGGGCCAGCCACATGTAAGGCAAATGCCCTACCCACTGTACTATGGCTCTGCTCTCCCTCACCCCCAAACATTTTCTACACTAGCTATTTTCTATTTTCAATAGAATAAAATATGTAATAATAGGGTTGGAGCAATAATACAGCATGTAGGGCACTTGCCTTGCATGCAGTCAACACGAGATCAATCCTTGGCACCCCATTTGGTTCCCGAAGTCCTGCCAGGGGTAATTTCTGAGTGCAGAGCCAGAGTAAGTCCTGAGCATTGCCAGGTGTGGCTCAAAAATGAAACAAATAAACATATATAATGGTGTTGATGAATAGTATGATGCACCAGCCCTCTAGCTAAAATCACATCAGTTTAAAATTTGTTAAAACACCCGGTTCTACTGTTTTTCTCTATCTAGTTCTTTCCTGATAATGTGAGGCCATAGGCAATACACAGTCATGTATAATAAGCACAAATGGTGGCCAAGGCACCTGTCTGCGGGCTTCACTTCCATACTGATTATCTAGGATTGTGTCACTAGATCACATCATTTCTGTGCCTGGGTGCTTTTTTTCATCTGCCAGCTGGGGACTTAAAAATTGCTTACTGAGAAAACAAATTTTATATATCAAATATAAATATAAGGAAGTGGAACTAAAATCATGACTCTAACCTACAGATGAGATAACTGGTTCTGTTCTGTTCTAAAAATCACAATGTCCACCCCTAGCTAGCACCTTGGCAATTAGCTTATTCGTCTCCAAGGCTTTAAGGAATAAGGAAAGGAGGCATCAGTTAAAAAAAAAACCCTTAACCAATGATGTGGGTGAGTGGTACAGTCATATATATTCAAAACACAGACTCAACAAAACTGAAAACACGATTATTTAAGTTGCAACAACAGAAGCTCTATAATATGCCTGTGAAGTTGACAGGTGGGGATAATGTGGGGTTTGGGGTAGGGAAGAAATATGGTAACACTCGTGGAGAGAAGTTGACAATAGTGGTGGGAATAGTTGAAATATTATATGCCTGAAACCACAACTATCAATAACTTTGTAAATCACAGTTCTTGAATTAAAACAAATGAAAAAAATAATTTTCCTTCGTCCCTCTTGGAGAACCCGGCAAGAGTATCTTGCCCTCACGGTAAATCCTGGCAAGCTACCTGTGACGTATTCGATATGCCAAACACAGTAACAACAAGTCTCACAATGGAGACGTTACGGGGCCTGCTCAAGCAAATCGATGAACAATGGGGGGACAGTGCTACTACAGTGCTACAATTGAAAAAAAAAACCTTGATCAAGAGCAAAAATAAAGGATGAATGGAAGATTCCACCTGTGAAGCCAAGAGAAGAAATGAGGTCTATGGAGATACAGGGATAAGAAGTAATTGTTGTCGGAGATATGGTGCCGCCAGCAGGTCAATGTGTACCTGTGAGGTAAGCGAATCAGCAGCCTGATGGTGCCTTCAGACTTCTAGATACCCCAAAATTGCTGCTGTGCTTCTGACCAGACCCTAACAACTTGAGGCCAAGTTTACCAAGAAAGTAAATGGCCAAAAGTTAAGTATGTGGGAGATACACCCACAAACCGCCACTGGCGCAGCTATACGATTGGAGGCAAGACCTCTCTGGTTCCTGATCAAACCTGCTTAACAGCCATGATCCCAGAGACTCAGGAACAAATCTCGAAACTCAGCAGGTTTTAGCAGAAATTCCTCCAGATTTGTTAAAATTTCGGAAATCCAAAATTGTGCAGCCACTACTGCGCCCATGCAACATCATGTTATTCATAATCAGCAACTGAAAACAAATTGTCTACGGTTGCCTTTCAGGCAGATCTGAGTGTTGGGGTAAAATATCTAATAATAATGGTGGGTCTGGTGTCAAAATATTGAATGTAATCAAAGTAGAGAGAGTAATGTGGAAATCATCTGCCCCACAGGTAGGGGGAGGGTGTGGGATGGGGGTATACTGGGGCTTCTGATGGTGGAAAATGGGCACTGGTGAAGGGACAGGAGTTTCATCATTGTATGACGAGACTTAAACCTGAAAGCTTTGCAACTGCTCTCATGGTGATTCAATAAATAAATTTATAAAAAGGAAAAAAAAAAGTAAGGTGGAGTTCATGCCCAATTCAATCAGCCTAATCAATGGCTGAATAAATAGCAATACTCCTACATAAAAAAAAAGAAGTAATTGTTGCCAAGAGCCCAAGTTGTACACAACTCTACACTTAAGAAGCAAACATAATCCACCAAGTCAGGCTAAGACAAGATGTGTGCTCCACACATAATGGGAGAGAATGGGGACACCCAGCGACTCACCAACAATTAAGGACAGATTTAGAAAATTCAAGATATCTACTCCATTCCAATGGTTCTAATTGTTATATATTTGGACTTTTATCTAATTAAAAGTTTAAAGTACTATGTTCGTAGATGAAGTAAAGTGCAACTTTAGTTTTCTGACATTAGATTTTCAATATAAATGCATGTATTTTCACCCAAATAATTTCTCAAAGAAGTTTTCAAAAAAAAATGTATGATCAACAACTCCTGGAAGGCTCATAGATGGTTTACTCTTCTGAAACAGTGACAGAGAGGCAGCAGGAAGAAAATACTGACTTCTCCACCCTGTGTCTCTTCAAAACATTTGAATTTTCAAAATCAGGGATGTGTATTACTTTAAATAAAATGAACCTTGGGGCTGGAGAGGTAGTACAGTGGGTAGGGCACTTGCCTTGCACATGAAAACCTGGTGGATGCTCAGCATCCCATTTGGTTCCCTGAGCACCACCAGGTACGGTCCAAATACACACACATTAAAAAAAAAACCCAAAATAAAAATAATTCTTTTGAAAGACAATAGCATGGCCTTTGAGTAACAACAATGCTAATATTATGCATGTCTTTGCACTGTAATAGGCATCCATTACCTACTACCTCCCTCTCAAACAGAAGTTAGCAAATGAGGTGTCGCCTGGAAGACAGCTAAGCTCATCAGCCCTTCTAACTCTCTTTGTGACCTAGTATGGTTTCGCCACATGCATTTACAAAAGTAAAAGGGCAACAGTCTCTATCATAGGAATTTCAGCAGTTACAATGATCATCGTGATTGTATACAAAAAGTTTAATACATCTCATAGCACAGAAGAAAGGAAAAACTTACCTATCGATTACATAGAAGTTGTCACCATCATCACCTTGATCAATTACGTGTTCCCCTTCTTTGACCAATTTTTCAAACATGGCATCTAATACTTGAGACATCTGCTCCTATTTTGTTAAAAGGAGTAACATTTATCTTTATCTAGATCATATTTTTTAAGGATCTGTAATTAACTATTTCCATGAACAAGGTCAAAGATATTTCCATTGAGTTTTATTTTGAAAAAATACAGCACAGTATCTGGTACTTCCTTAATCACACATAAATAAGATGATCATATAGTTACTCATGCTCAGTATTGGAACAAAAGTAATTAGTCTATTTCAGTCTATCTTAGATCACTATTTTAATGTGAAAATTTATCATGCACCTTGATAAATATTATCTTAATAACTAAAATGAGCAGGTTGGTTAAAAAAAACTAATAGCAAGTGTCTTTTAAAGGTAAGTTTTTAGAACTTCCTTATATTAGTCATCACTAGAATTTATGTAAAGATTCCAAATACTTAGTGAATCCCTTTCTTGGCTCCAATACTTTATGGTTTAGAATCAAATCAAACCAAACAGAAAAATAATACCAAGGAAATAAAAACTGTCAGATATATGCTGTCATATATATATACTTTGGACAACCTGGCAGGCTACTGAATGTAACCTGCCAGCATGGCAGAGTCTAGCAAACTCCCTGTGGTGTACCCAATATGCCAAATACCAGTAACAATGATGGGTCTCATTCTCCTAACCCTGAAAGAGCCTTGAATATCACACTTTTTAAAATCTCAGGGCTAGGATGAAGGAGATGTTACTGGTGCCTGCTCGAGGCAATCGACGAACAACAGGATAATCGTGATCATGATATACTGTCACTTTGTATCATAAAGATTCTCTTCCAGAAGACTATTATCTCCATATATCCTAAAAGATCAAAACCCTTATCCAACAATTCCTTAAAGTTTTTAATTTTCTGTAATGTGCTACATACAAGGCCTATGGACAATGCCTAATGTCAATAAACTCAGAAGTAAAAGAACCCTCTCCTCAGACCAAATACATTAGTAACTATCAGACACTTGATATGAGAAAAGTCAGATGGGTTATTTGAAAAGTAAACGGGTAATTTGCTTGTTCACTCATGAACTCTAAATACTTGGTCATTACTATGTGCATAAAAAAAAGTCCACCCTCCAAATCACTTGGCTGCTTCTCCTGGGAGGGAGCATAAAATGAGGCCATGCCACCGGACTCGTTGCTAGGCTGTTTTCACTCGGGGTGCCCCAGAGGAGGGCGGGTGACAGCCCTCCCCGCCCCAAGGAACCTAGCCCCGGAAGCCGACCTCCACAACCCAACTACCGCCACATCCAGGCTGCTCCCCACTCACTTGGGCTGAGGAGCCTTACATATGAGTGAACATATTCCTGGATACATCATAAGACACTCCCTACCCATTCTCCATAATTGCCACACCATATTTGATGGGGCTCAGGCAGTAGGCAACAAATCATAGAGGGAAATATATATATATATTTTTTTTCCTCTATGATATATATATGCACATCTATACATATTTTCAGATACACAGACCAAAGGTCACATCACCCAAACTTTAACAACATGTTAGTGTTATCATATAGAATGTCTTAATGGCTCCTGCCAAAAGAGAACAATCTTCACACTGTTTCTTATATGAACACTTTTTTGTAAGCATATTCAGAAGTTTTTCATAACATACAAGACAAAATATATTCTTTCAGTTGTGTTTTGGGACAGGGATTGGGGTTTGGGATGGAAACATCCTGAATTTGGTGGTGGGAAGGTATAAGGGTGGTGGGATTGGTGTTTGAATATTAAATATAATAAAACAGTGTGAGCTAATTTATAAAATAAATTTAAAAAATAAAATAAATATATTTAAAGTAAGAAGTTCAACACCAACTGCCAATTCATCAGTGAATTAACAAGTGGAATATGGGATGGAGGAAAGATGGAAGTTGGAAAACCTGATGAAGAAACAAGATATTCTGGATCAAAAGCATAAACATATCTCGTAATTCTCTTCCTCCTTGACCCCGTTTACATTTCATAAGGAACACAAAGGCATACATTCATCACTTTACAAGGGAAGGGGCAATTGATAAGAGATTTCTGGGGCAAATGTCAGTGAGTGGGAACGTGGGGGTGTTGAGAGGGCAGAGAATCGGGCAGGTGAGCCTGCAGTGAGAACCAGTCACCCATCAAAGAGTCAGCAGGTCACGTGAGAATGGGTCTGAGACCCAGAGGAAAACAAGGGGAAAAAGTGGACAAGTTCAGAGCTGTATGCTATAACACATGCTAGGGCTCCAGCTAGAGACCCTGTGTTCACTCTTTCCAGACGAAAGAGCAGAGTTGGCTTCTTAGGAGAAACTAAGCCAAGTAAAATGAAAACAGATCCTGTCAGCAAGGGTGGCCCAGGACAAGATATTCACCTGCTGGAGGGCTTGGAGATTCCTGCAGGCAACAAACAGCCGGTCCCTCCTGTTCATACAACCCCAATAACACACTGCCTGTGGTATTCAGACCTAAAAGTCAGCTTTTTGGTACCCTTCTGGTAGGCTATGAAACTCAGAAAGAGAGCAAAGCAAAACTAGATGAGATAGACATTATGTAATGGGAGAAAACTTTCAGGAGTTCTTTGTACTTTGGAACGATATTCAAAATATATCCAAGGGACTTTTTCAAAAAGGGTCTTTAGAAAAAGAGCAAGTCAGTGAAAAATGAGTAGCTTAAAAGTAACAAAACAAAACATGACTACAAATGTTTTCCTTTTAAATATTTTCCTTTTTTTGGAATTTGAAAATATTTTTTATAGGCATACTCAATAATGCTCATGGATGTTACTCCTGGCTCTGCACTCAGGAATCACTCCTGGAGGGCTCAGAGGACCATACGGGGTAACAGGAATCAAATCCATGTTGGTTGTGTGAAAGGCAAATGCACTACCTGCTAGACTATTGCTCCAGCCCTATTAAATATTTTTCACTTTTAAATATTTTCATGTTGTTTTGGAAGTTTTCAAATATTCTGCCTCCCATCTGTTCCCAAATACTCTATCAAATCTTCCATTATCATAGTAGATCAATATCACTCAGTCCATTTTTTTCATCAGCATCTCCTCTTGGTGCTACATATTTTAAGGGTAAAATTACATTATCTTCCCTTACAATTTCTTTGTAAGTTACACAAAAAGGGAAAACATGTTTTGGATTGTTTGGAGGTTTACTCTTGGCTCTGTGCTTAGGGACCACTCCTGGTAGGGCCTCCAAGACATGTGCCTTACCCACTATACTATCATTCCAGCCCTAAACGGGGAAGACTTAAAATGAAAAATAGGAAATCTCATGCTGGAAGGAGACCTCACTGGGTTTCAGTACATGTTTTGCATGCAGGAACCCCAGGTTTGATCCCAGCACTGCACGGTTCTCTGAGCACCGGGATCTGCTCAAAAATCAGAAAAACAAAAACCAAACAAACACGGGGGGCAGGGGAGGGGGAGAGCCGCTCTCAAAAATATAAAAAAGATGTTCAACTTCTCTCCAAATAACACAAATGTAAATTAAAGTTAAGACAGGAATTTTTCATCTGTCATTTTCACAGATGAAAATGTCAGACTCTCCCTGGGAGAGAGTGTGGGAAAGAGACATTCTCTGGCAGATTGCTGATGGGAAGATAATAAAGACTCTATCTGCACTAATACAATGTTTAACTCACAACAGGGCAAGAAACCTTAGAGCACTCAGGGCTGCCATCATCTGATGAATACACCTGCAATGCACAGTATAGCTTTGGGAAATGCTACAGAACCCCAAGTGCTAAAAGAACTTGGGTCCTCGGGAACCTGGGTCTGGGAGAGAGGGGAAGATGGAGATTTCTTTGCACTTGCCACTTACTCATTTGTTGCTTTTGAATTTGTGTAAACTGTATTGATATGGAGCTGATATTTTAAAGTAAATTTAAAAAAAAATAAGTAGTTTTAAGCAGGGTACCTGGAGCGATAGCACAGCGGGTAGGGCGTTCGCCTTACAAGCGGCCAACATGGCCGACCCGAGTTCGATTCCTCCGCCCCTCTCGGAGAGCCCGGCAAGCTACCGAGAGTATTCGATATGCCAGACACAGTAACAACAAAGTCTCCAATGGAGACGTTACTGGGCCCGCTCGAGCAAATCGATGATCAACGGGAGGGCCTTTACTTTACTTTACTTATAAGCAGGGTACCCAAGATTATGTCTTCACAGGGGATGAGAAAAAGAAAGATGGTGTGGGTTTGCAGACCGAGGACTGCAGCCCCTTCCCGGGCACTGAGGGAGCGCTGGCACTGATCTGCAAAGCAGCAGCCAATCTGGAAGATAAGCCAGTAATGCAGGAAGCAGGCAAGCGGGGTTAACTTGAGGTGGTGCTAATTGGCCCCATCGGGACAATTTTGCTCAAATGAGTTCATCAACCCAGGCAACATATGGTCACCTATCAGAATGCTGAAAGCTGATTAAAAGTTTGCTTACTGTTTTTTTTTTAACTATTTTAGGGAAGACTGGTATTTAAGGAGAAATATCAGCTTTACTGATTAGCTCTGGTTCTAAATGTCAAATACAGACAAAGATAAGATACACTGCTTCGTCCTTAAATGGTTTCATTATCTTGGTACTAGCTGTATTCTAACATATCCTAAAGCTAAAGAATCATACACAGACATATGAGAAAGTCATTCCTGATGAAATGCAGAATAATTGTTTCTTCTAGAACCTCTCTGACAGGTGTCTGTTCTAGCCAATCAAAATGCAGTTTCTCCATAATTATGCACAGTGACAGGAGAACTTAGGAAATATTTAATATGCAGAGGCTTCTCCAAATGACTGACAACCACTGTAGGAAATCCACATCTTATTCTCCTACAAAATGCAAATCTGTGACTGAGCTCTGTAAAAGGGTTCTGACTCACTCAAAAAATAACAATTGACTCTCCCCTAATGAGAGCTTATAGTATGGCATAGGAAAATGATTTAAGGTTCCCTCAAATTAGAAATATTTCAGAAGAAAAATGGCCTACTGAGTCGAACATTAAAATATTCATGAAAAGAATATCTTCAAAGAGTTTAATAATTATAAGTACTGCATTCAATGTATGACTACAGCATTCTGATAAAACATGTTCTAAGACCTGACAGGTATAGAATTTTCTTTCTTTCTTTTTTTGGGGGCTTTTTGGGGTCACACCCAGCTATGCTCAGCAGTTACTCCTGGCTCTACACTCAGGAATTACTCCTGGCGGTGTTGGGGGACCATATGGGATGCTGAGAATTGGACACGGGTTGGCCGTGTACAAGGCAAATGCTGTACTATAGCTCCAGCCCCCAGTATAGGATTTTCAAGTGAAACAATGACATGAAGAAGCTCAAATGAGAGAGCAGGTACAGAGTCAAGGCTTCTTGTTATTTTGTAATTCCTCTTCCTCTTCAAGATTACCCATTCCAGAAAAAGGTGCTACCTGTGCAATCATTCCAACTAGATGCCAATCAACCTGAACTCTTGTCTTCAGCTCCTAATTCAACCAAGATGTAAAAACTTCTGTCATTCCCAACCACACGGTGAGACTGTCATTCTCCACCTTTACTAATGAAGCCCCTTCCTTTTCTGTAAAGACATTAGAAATCTTATGTTCTTTCACTGCAACCAAAATCTGGACATGACCCAAGTGTTCAAGAACAGACAACCTGAAAAAGAAACTATGATGCACAGATACAGTGGAATACTACTTGGCTCTAAGAAAAGACAAAGTCATGCAACTTGCTGCTACATGGACGGTCTGCAGAGTATTGTGCTGAGAAAGAAGTTAGTCAGAAATTCGAATGACCTCACTCCTATGTGAGATATGAAGAAACAAAGCCAAGGTACAACAAATGCCCAAAGGCAATAGAAAGCAAGAACTTGTCTTCAATAGAAATAGAAAGTTTCCAGGGATGGGAAGGGAGAACAGGACATTGGGCAAATGGTGAAGGAAAGCAGATTCTTTGGACAGGGTATGGTAAGGGAACATGTGATGAACGAAACCCTTGATCATTAAAAGGCTTGTAAAACATAGTGCCTAAAATAAAATTTAAAAAACTTAAAAAACCCATTTCTTTCTGCACGTGTCACAATACTGTTCCTTTGTTTTCACCTGGTGACTCTCCATCCTCTCATTTTTAACTTCTATACTACTCCCAAAATGGCCATAGACAAACTTGTTAAGTACTGAAAAGACTCAAAAGTGCCACAGAATGTATCTCTCTCTCTTTCTCTCTCTCTCTTTCTCTCTCTCTCTCTCTCTCTCTCTCTCTCTCTTTCTCTCTCTCTCTCTCTCTCTCTCTCACACACACACACACACACACACATTCTTCTAACTTCAGGCATGAATAATACTCTGAACTTTTCAACTGACAATTTTGTATTTTGTCCTCATCCCCGGAGGCCTGACTCATGTGGCCTGCCTCAGATTGTGCTGAGACCCTCATCTGCTCAGTGCTCTGATCCCATCAAAACATACATAATATTTTACAAAACTACTTTGTGTGTGGATTTTAATCCTTCACCAACTGCAAGTTTCAAGAGGACAAGAATTCTACTGAGGTATTTCTGTGGCCTCTAATACTACAGGTCTCAGATCATCAACAAAAGGGACAGATGAAGTTACTAAAGGGTTCTGGTGCCACCAGTTCAGGCTTGTCAGAGCCAGTCATCTGAACTCACAGAGCAAAAAATACACTTGTCTTATAACAAGATGGCCAAAGTCACAAATGGAAGTAGCATTCCCACAGGGCAGGAAGTGAACATAATGCTGTCAGAAGCAAACATGATTTTAAGAATATTTCAGGGAGTAACATGACCCAGTATAGAAGAACTGGTATGATTCAGACACTTTTATAAAAATGGACTTCGTAAGATCTTGTTTTGATTTCATGCTATTTTTTCCACTCTGGGGAATCCAGCTGAAAACTCTAAGATGCCATATTTGACAACAGAAAGTTGAATTAAGTTCCAAAAGTTGATGGTTTTTTTCACATTAGCAACAAGAGGTAACAAGAGTTATTTCCCAAGTGACCATAGGTCAATGACTAACCAAAAATAAAGGATAAAGGAGACAGATCATTCAGGCTGGAGCCCAGAGAAATATCCAAATGTCATGGTGCACCTTTACATTGAGAGAAGGGATTCTAGAAAGAGACCCCAAGCCAAAGTCCTGAGATTTCTAAACCATTACAAAGAACAGCCCCCCATTCCCACCCCCACATTAAAGCAAAGTAAGACATTACTTTATATGCATTAAAATAAAATTGCTACCACTGGATATTAAGAGGTACCACCCTACAGACGCTGAGAATCCCCTCCTCTTCCTGTGGGAAGTATGAAAGATCCTAATCTCAAAGGGGCTTTTCCCAGCACTTTACAGCAAGACAACATTGTCCTGCAGAGAAGGCCAGTCTGCTCTGCTCTTGGCCCTAGACAGAACAGGCTGGTTCTCTGCTTGCCCTGGTAGCATGGAAAGAGCCAATCTCAGTTCTCTTCTCCCAGCACAGCCCTCAGCGCAAGCAGCATCCATTCTCGGGCAGTGCCACCTGGTAGGAGAGGGTCAGAACCAAGACTGCACAGTACTCAGCGGCACTGGGACAAAGGAAGTAGCATTACTGAGATGGAGCTTACCGGGTCCAGATTCTTAAAGAGCAGGATGTCTTTGCAGGCCTCTTGCAACCGATTTCTTTGATCATCAGTCTTGGGGTGTATAATCTAAAGGAAATTTGAAAACAAATTTGAAAAACTAGTTGACCCATCTTACTCATAAGAGATAAAACTGCTGGTTGAGTGGTTGAGTGGAAGGACTGTGGGTATGTGGGCTCACTTTCGGCATTCACAGTTGGCTTGTCAACAGTGAGCATTTACTGAAAGAAGTGGTCTCAGATAGTGAGGAAGGTGCCCACACACATATCAATATAGCACTTGAATGTTTTTTAAGAGTATTTTTAATAGCATCATCATGAATTACAAAGTTACAAGGATATTTATGATTGAGCTTCAGGAAAACTATTATTCTAATATTATTATTAGATATTATATTGCTATAAATTATTATTCTAATATTATTATTAGATATTATGTTATATTAATATAAATATTATTCTAATACCAATCTCATCACCAGTGCCCAGTGCCCTTTATATCCTACATATGAGAGAGGTCATTCTGAGTCTGATCCCCTCCCTCTGACTTATTTTACTCTCGAGTTCCATCTACCTTGCAGCAAACAGCAAGACTTTATCCTTTTTTTTTTTTATGGTGGAGTACTCCATTGTGTATATGTACCAGTTTCTTTATCCAGGCATCTGTTCATGGACATTTGGGTTGTTTCCATATTTTGACACTGTAACACTGTAGCACTCTCCTCCCATTGTTCATCGATTTGCTTGAGCAGGCACCAATAACGTCTCACGACAAACTGTGAGACTTGTTACTGTTTTTGGCATATCCATCAAGGGGACCTTGCCAGGCTTTGGCATGTGGGCAAGATACTCTCAGTAGCTTGCCGGGCTCTCCGAGAGAGGCAGAGGAATTGAACCTGGGTCGGCCGTGTGCAAGGCAAATGCCTTACCCGCTGTGCTATTGCTCCAGCCATATTTTGGCTATTGTATATAATATTGTATATATTATATATAATATATATAATATATAAACTGCATCTGGCTCATGACTGAAGACTCCAAACACCCCCTGCCCCCTCCAGTAATGGAATACTCTGAAGGACAGAGGTTACAACAAGCTCCAGCGGAATTCTAAAAGGTTTCTCTGGTCTACTACTAGAAATCTTACTCCACTTTCTGCTCATCACATGCTTTTGAAGACTGTTTCATACTGTGCAGCTCTGAGTTCAACCATGTGTCAGGATGTACTCTTTCCTGAGATGCTTCATGATGTCTCCAGGAGTTCACGCTTACATGTAGTTTGCATTATGTGGTGATGATACTTCTAAGGCACAATGTGTGTGACTCTCCCTCTGGGGAGTGCTTTTTCTAAAGGGTTCAGAGTATGTGAGAGGCACTCAGTTCAGTCTTTCGTAGCACCTGAGCCCCTGGCACTCTTGGAGTTCTGGCAGATCCCAGCACCACCAGGCCCAAGCACTATGCTGTGGGGTTAAACATTGGACCACCAGTCTCACACTGCTGGACGGAGAATGGCAGGAGTGGCCTCAGGCCCACACCCAATAAAAAATGAGAAAAAAAATAGTACAGTTATGAGTAAGAGGTTTGGAGAATGAAGAACCTAAAACATTTTTTATAATTCTGAATAAATAATCAATGATCAAAAAATAAAAGTTAAAAATAACCTAGAAGATGTCAACAGGGAATAACTCTTGGGATGAACGCCCAACAGACCAAGATCCTTCTGCCCTTGCTTCTCAGTGCTATCCAGTGGCCTGGTTTGAAGTTGATGATACTGACCTCCTAGCTCACACTGGGATTATGGAGAAATTTTCATAGGGAAAGTGGGATTTTGAACCGAGATACATGGTAGGATATTATAACTTATAATAAGAAATACAGGGGCCAGAGAGATAGTACAGGGCTTTAGATGCTTGCCCTGCACTTGGCAGACCCAGATTCGATCCCCACCACAACATATAGTCCCTCAAGCACAGCCAGGTATGTTATTCCTCAACACAGAGCCAGTAGCATATGCCCTGAGCACTGCTGAGTGTCATCAACCAAAAAGAAAAATTAAATGAAAGAACAAAAATACAGATATTTTTGCCATTGTCTCTGTTTATGGCACAGAACTTCAAAAATCCTTGGAATTTCCTAACTGGAGTGAATGATAAGGGGGCATTTTTACATTGTTAATGAAGTGACTATTTCTTTCTTTTTTTTAAATTGAATCAGCATGAGATAGAGTATTACAAAATTGATCATGATTGCATTTCAGTCAAACAAAGTTCCAACACCCATCCCTCCACCAGTATAATTTCCCATCACCAGTGTCCCCAGTGTCCCTCCCACCCCTTCAAGCCACCCCCATCACCACCACTCCAGATTGCCTCTATGGCAGGCACCTCTCCTCTCTCTCTCACTCTGTCTCTCATTTTAGGCATTATGGTCTGCGATACAGATGCTGAAAGATTATCATGTACATCCCTTCACCTGCTTTCAATACTCAGTTCTTGTCCAGAGTGATCATTTCCAACTAGTATTGTCATAATGGGCCCTCCTCTATCTTAACTACCCTCCATCTCTCACACCATCTCTTAAAATTGGCTAGTCCTCCTCCAGACCTTTTAGACCAGTCCCTAAGGATGAATGATGCTGTTACCTGGAGAACCTCTAACATGACTAGAGGGAGAAACTTTCAGTCCTCCCATGTCCTGCCCCTCACCGCACACTCCCTCCCATTTTGCTCTGGCCCTTGTAGGTTCTTTCTTGATATATGGCAGTAAGAGCAACTGAAGCTGAGTCCCTTTTTAATAAACTCTACTATTCTTGCAACAGATTTCTAGACAAAGGTGGTTATCTTTTTGCTGACTATTAGCCTGCTATTTTTGCTTTTGTTTAGACTCACTCTAGAATTGTGTAGTTTACCAAGTATATGCCAATATCTCCCCAAATTCAAAAATATGTCAGTGCAGTTATTTTATGGTCCCAAATTAATTTCAACTGTTATAGATTCATCTCCACTCTTCTCACCCTCAACAAAAAGTTGTAAGAAATTAGCCGAAGTGATCCACTCATTTCATTTTACCTATCTCATGGACCAAATACTAATTAACAGTTCTCAGGTATACTATATACTGTTTTCACATTTAAAATTTAACCTTTACACCTTCTCCAGATGGAATCCCGGTAACCATGAGCTTCCACAAGCATGGCTCTGGCAAGCAGGTGCCAGGACAATTTTTCCGAACTACAAAGGGGCCACCCCGGCTCCCAAGAAACTCCTGATTCTGGAAGTCACGCCCACAGTTCGTCCCCCAGCGCCATCTTACAGCACACAGCAGCAAAGAAGAAAACTGGCTGAAGAGCCCCACATCTCCCGGAGAATGCTCCAGGCCCCAAACAGAGCCGATATCATCAGGAGGTCCCAGATGGGGTAGGTGCTGTCTCCACACCTTCTCCAGATGGAATCCTGTTGACCATGAGCTTCTACAAGCATGGCTCTGGCATGCGGGTACCAGGATAATTTTTCCGAACTGCACGGCCGTTTATGCGGCCGTGCAACATTTCCCAATATGCAAAGTGATCAATGGAAAGTAAATCATCCAGCATTTCTCCCTGAAAATCAGGCTTGAATGGTGGTGGGAAAATCTGAGGAAAAGATAATGCCCAGCCGAAATACATCTGGACTGTGTATTTAACTTTGGTGCTATGCCGCCCTGTGAGGGGAATGGTGCCTGTATCTCCACCTGTCCCACTATGCGGCAGCAACATAGTGGCTTGCATTTTTTAGAGCCTTATGAACAGTCAGGTATATGACTGCATTGACGAGGCACATGGGGCTTCATGAGATGGGGGGTGGAATCAGCCCTGCTCCCGCCATGACAATGCTCCAGGTTGCCACCCTCGGAACCCAGGAGCTTTTGGCATTAATCCCTATAGGTTTATTACTAAAATATTAGAAATCCAAATTCGTGTGGCCACTATTGTGACCACACAACATCATATGCTCTTCATAATCAACATTAGAAAACAAATTTTCTAATGATGTCTTTGTGGCAAGTCTGAATGTTGGGGGAAATTGCAAATTAACAGTGGTGGGTCTTTTGTCGTAATATTGAATGTGATCGAGACAGACAGAGAGAGAGAGAGAGAGAGAGAGAGTAAAGTGGAAATCTGTCACATAGGTGGGGGCGGGGTGGGAGGGAGGTATACTGGAGTTCTTGGTGGTGGAAAATGTGCACTGGTGAAGGGACAGGTGTCTGATCATTGTATGACTGACCAAGACTTGAACTGAAAGGGCTTTGTTACTGTTCTCATGGTGATTCAACAAATAAAAAAAAAAGAAAAAATTTTAACCTTTATATTAAAAAAATAATTAAAAATTTTAATTAAAAATAAAATTTCATTAAAAACAAAAATTTTAAACTTCATCTTAACTGGTCTAAACCAGCTTAGCACCTCAGCTACCAAGTTTTACCCTATGTATCTGTTCACAAATATAAAGAATGTGTGTGGTTGTCACTAGTTGCCCACTATTGCTTCTGATAGAATCATAAATCAAACACATGATGGGAAAGTTCCAGTTTTTCTGTTTACAGGAAGTAATGACAGCACATCCCAAATTAGCACATCCCATACTGGTCTTAGGGTAACATCATTGTCAGACAGGGATCTGTGGGTTTAATCAAAATAATTTAGGCTCTGACAAAAAGTGAATAAACTCCTCACAACTGTAGTGTTGGGAAACCCAGCAAGGATGGGAATCAAAGAGGATTTCCTTCAAGGCCTACTGGGTAGCATAAAGCTCCTGATTCTTCTACCAAAGACTTTAGGGGGCTTAATGATGTAAAGACTTAGGGATGAGACATCTTTTCTGAAGTGAAACTCAGAAATTCTCACTGGAATGGTTTTCAGGTCTACAGAAATAGATTTGGGCTTGCATTTTTAAAGGAATATAGAAAAGAAAACTCTTTTCAAGATAAATTTTTACTGTCCATGTATAGGTGCAACAATATCTCATTTACTTTTTAATTAGTAGGTAAATAATGAAAGACTACAGCTTAAACATTGCCTTAGACCAGATTAAAAAAAATTTTTTTTTCCTTTCGGGTCACAACCGGGTAGCATATGCTCAGGGGTTATGCCTGGCTCCGTATTCAAGAATTACTCCTGGCAGTGCTCAGGGGACCATATGGGATACTGGAGATCTAATTCAGGTTGGCCGTGTGCAAGGCAAACACCCTACCAACTATACCATTGCTCCAGCACCCAGATTAAAAAATTTTTACAAAGCTGGTGGACTTTCCAAGAAATCAATTTCTGAGCAAAGTATTAGAACTGTAAATAAGAACTACCGTTCAAACTCTGCAGATATAATTTTACTATAATTTTCTCAGTGTAAGCTCTGGTAGTCATCTGTTAGGAAGAGCAGAAGGCTTTCCCAGCATATCTCTTTACTAGAAAAATTGCCTATAAAAGATAACATCATTATGAATGAGTCAGTTAAAAATGTTTTCCATCGTCAGACTGTAATCTGCAAAAAAATATAAAATAAAACTACAAACTGCAGTGAGCTTTATGTGTATCTTTTCATTTAAAGATACTTTGGACAAAGATAAGTGCACAGAAGTAGAGGCAGATAGGTAATTAGAGATAAGTCAAGGAAGAGAAATAAATTCCAAACAATTCCATTATGTCTCATGTGGAACTATACATCTATTAAGATCTTTTACTATCTTTCTTACCAGTGTAGGTATACTAATTTAAAATTCATTTATTCAGTGAATTACATACCCTGGATTCGGCATCATCTTCTTCTTCATCAGGATTATAAGCTTCTGCACATACTATAAAAATAAAACAGATAATTTAAAAATTTATTTCATCAATAAACATACAACTACACAAATATACCTTAAAAATCAACAAAAAGAATGCCATGGTACGAAAAAGCTAAAATTCACTCCCATTACAGGGCAAGTCATCTACTCCTAAAATATGTAGAAATTCTTATAGAAATTCAGAGTGAATGAAAGCAAAACTTGAACTCAGAGAAAATGACCTGTGGAGGTTTAGAGTTCTAGGACAATACTGCAGTGTTTTTTTTTTTTTTTTTTTTTTTTTTCACGATTACTCCAAGCTTCCTCTGAGGGAAGAAAAAACCACACTCTTGACCTGTCCATGCACCAGTAAAGAAAAAAAAAAAAAGAAATACCTTAAAATAAAATTGTTTTCTCTTCTAGTTCTTACATTTCTCACACAAGAATTGCATCTGACCACCAAAATAACCACTCCCTGACTGCAAGCAAAGTATTTACTTCTCTATGCACACAGGTATTCAAGACTGCCAGGCCTGTGCTTCTACTAGGTTACACTGGGAGAGGGGGGACAGTTCTTCTATTGTAATTAAGCTTGCTACAGTATATATAGTATATAAATTTGACCTTCTCTTGGACCGGAAGAGAAAGTAGCGATCAGAACTCTGCCTCAGCGGACCAAGGAGCCCTCAGCATATTTATGGGCATAGGGGTAACTATGCAAAGTTGTACTGAAGTCTAGACAATTGCCTTTTGTTCTCCTATCTGAGACAGGGAACTTAAATACCTTGCTCAATATTACCAAGCTAGACGCTGACTGAGATGTAAAACTTACTAAGTGAAACAGGAAGTTTAAATTTGCTGTGAAATCATTTAAACTACGTAGTTCAGAATATTTCATAGATTAATCACAATTCATTTTACCTGGATGAAGTACTATTCTTATATAGCATATCCCTTCTGTTTTTTCTTTTCTTTTCTTTTTTTTTTTTTTTTTTTTTTTGCTTTTTTGGGTCACATCCAGCTTTGCACAGGGGTTACTCCTGGCTTGGCACTCAGGAATCACTCCTGGCGGTGCTTGCTTGGGGGACCATGTGGGATACTGGGAATCGAACCCGTGTCGGCCATATGCAAGGCAAACATCCTACCCGCTGTACTATCACTCCAGCCCCTCCCTTCTATTTTTTATTCTGGATTGAGCTCATATTAAATACCCCATGTTAAAATCTGATTCTGAAATTTACCACTGTAAGAATTTTGTATGCTGACAGAAACTTTCTGTAAATACTGTTTCTAAGGACCACTAATTATTTATCATACGTTACAATTAACTGGACTAATTCTAGACATTTAGCTGGCTTTCACTAAAAGAACCTTGAAATAAACATCTTCATGCATATTTATCTACATTTCAGATTATTTGTATGAATTATTTCCAAATATGACTGGGAGAGCTAAATGTTATATTGATGAGGGTGCGTGGGGGGAGGGGGGAAGGGGATTTGGAGCCACATCTGAAGGTGTTCAGGAACTACTCCTGGCTCTGTACTTGGGGGATGCTCCCAGATGTGGACAAGGGAGCATGAGGTTCTAGGACTGCACCCAGGCTTCCTGTAAGCTAAGTATGCTCTCTAGCCCTGCTCTGATAAAGGCATCCTTATCATCATGTTTATTTCCATAGCAACTGCACACATTCACCGCAATACAAAGAATGTGTAGTAAACATTTTAGTAATCTCTTATAAGGTAAAGGCCTTATATAAGGGCTTAATGGCTCCATGGTGAGATACAACAATCTTCACTAACTTTCTTCTAAGGAAACATTTTTTGATCATCCTTTTAACAAAATACTTATAATAAGTAACAAAATAAATTATTGAGGGCCTGCTATGGGGGCAGGATGGTGGGAAAATTAGGAGAATGGTAGTGGGAAGGTGCAATGGCGATGGGATTGATAGTGGAATACTTAATGTCTGTAACAAAACTGATGACTTAATAAAGTTATAAAATAATTTAATTTTTTAATTGATTCACTCTGATAGACCTTTACAAAGCTGTTCATGATTAGGTTTCAGTCATACTGTGTTTCAACACCCATCCCTCCACCAGTATACACAAAAAAAATTTTTTTAAAGATAGAATGTATATTGGGGCTAGAGCAATAGCACAGCAGATAGGGCGTTTGCCTTGCACGCAGCCAACATGGCCGACCCAGGTTCGATTCCCAGCATCCCATATGATCCCCCGAGCACTGCCAGGAGTAATTCCTGAGTGCATGAGCCAGGAGTAACCCCTGAGCATCTCTGGGTATGACCCAAAAAGCAAAACAAAAAAAAGATAGAATGTATAGTAAGATTCTAAACTATACAGTGTAGATGAATATATCTGCTGAAATCTTTGTCAAATTAGATTTTAATGGATTAACATTTTCCATTTTAAATTTGAATAATCTTTAAATGTTTATAAGCAGAATGAGTATTTCCTCCTTTGCTCTCATGTATGGGTATTCTGTGTATATATTTGTCCTCCTTCAAATGATTCTGTCATGTTTCTCATCATTAGCTTTCTTTCTTTTTTTTTTTTTTTGAGGTAAACAGGTATTATTTGGAGGGTATTTTGGAAGGATGGAGGATGCTCAGCCCCGATCCGAGTAGGCTAAGTCCACGACAGAGTCTGGCAAACTCCCTGTGGCGTACTCAATGTGCCAAATACCAGTAACAATGATGGGTCTCATTCTCCTAAAGAGCCTTGAATACAGCACTGTCTTAAAAATCTCAGGGCTAGAATGAAGGAGACGTTACTGGGGCCTGCTTGAGGCAATCGACGAATAACAGGATGGTCATGATTCGTGATTTTGGAAGGAAGGAGGAAGAGAAAAATGTGTGAGAGTGGAGAGTAAGAGAGACAGAGTAACGCGCTCAAGAGAGAACGCGGGCTTCTCCAAGAGCAGAGAGAGACTTTTCAAAAAAATTTTTTAAGCTTGCTTTCTTAATTATACTTACAACTTTTTTTTTTAACAGAGTATGCCTGTTTATTTTCCATATGCCAACATCTTGCAGGAAAGAAAACTCTCCAATTATTTAAACCCAATATTAGATGTCATACAAGGACCATGTCTTGGAGTTTGAAAATCCCCTATTTTCCCCTTTTTTAATTAATTTATTATTGGTCTGAAATATTAAGATAATTTCTCACTTCTGTATATAATTTTCACCACACCAATCACAAATAGACCCTCAACTCACACTGTTCACTCTTCCCAGTAGCCCCCTTTTCTCTTAGGCAACCAAACCACTAGTTTCTCTGAGTCTAGAGGATCATTTTGTTGGGAAAAGCTATTCTTACTTGCTATTTCTGTTATTTCTCTCCCCCCCGCCCCGCCATTTCTTGAAGCTTAAAAAAACGTATCTTTTCATTCATATGAACTTTATTCTGGTATAGATATAGAAACTTAAAGAGGACAAATGAAAGGTTGACTGAAGTCCTCTATAAGCAAGGCTCCTATCATCAGAAATGCTACAGACACCACTATTACTAGAAAACCTGACGCCAGCTTTCTTTCCTCTAGATATTCCTCTCTGACAACAGCAATTCTTAACCAGAGGACATTTTGCAGTATCTGTAGGTATTTTGATGATCTCTCTGTGGAGGGTTGCGGGGGAAGTTACTGGGGGAAGTCAGAGAAGCTGCTAAATATCTTACACTGTACAGGCAAGCCTCTTTCTTCCAATGAAGAATTCTCTATCTCTGAACAGTAGAGCAGAAGCTGAGAAACTCTGACCTGTGCATCTTTTCTCATTCAAGTTCTCAACAGCTCTCTGGTAGATGCCATATCCCATGCACGATGAACATGTAGGGCACAGAGAAGTTATGTATCTTGACCAAGATCACACAGTGGTAACACAGAACCAATAACTTGATCCCAGCACTGCCTGGCTGCTGACTCCAAAAATCTCATTCCTAGTGTTCCATCCACACTTCATTGCTTTGGTGAATTCACCAGCTCTGACAGGGCCGTCTGTCCGGAATCTCTAACAGGAGGGGACCTTTTCCCACAGGCAGACTCATATTATGGAATCTCACTGAGGCACAGAACCACAATGTCAAATTAGTAACATTCATTCCTGAACTGAAGTATGGGATCAGCATGACCAGCCAGTTCTTGCCCCGCAGGAAGGCCACAGAAGAAGCCAAATCATAATTAAAAGGTGGCTTGGTGAGAAGAAAATGGGAGGACGAGGTTTGTCAAATAAATCAAATGTTTAATGGCACTGGTCTGGGACAGCCTGAGGCATCCACAGACAATGCAGACGGTCTTGCTGATGTGCTCAGACACTTTTTACTGTGCTAGTTGCGACAACTCTCCAAGGAGCAAGAATGTGGACAATTATGTCTAAAGCTTCTCTCTGTATCTTTGCGTTGCCATGGAAGACCAACCTCACAGGCAGGACATCTAATTTGCAGGACTCAGTGCAAAGTAGAAATACAGCTCCCTCTTCAGCAACTAAGAATTTCCAGGGGACAACTTCAGGGAGCTGTAAAGATAGCACAGAGGGGGAAGGTGCTTGCCTTGTACATGACCAATCCTGGCACTACATTCGGTCCCAAGCATCGCTCCAGAAATGATATCTGAGCACAGAGCCAGTAGTAAGCCCTGAACAGAGTCAGGTATGGCCCAAAATAAATAAACAATAGCAAGAAAATTTGAATTTTAAAAATGAACAAATAGATGAAAAATATTCTTTATTATAAAATGAGCCCTCCCCTCCCCAAGGGGCCCAGCCCCAGCAGCCGACCTCTACTACCCGACCTCCACTACCCAACCACTGCCATGCTCCAGGCCTCTTTCCACACGCTCAGGCCGAGCCTCACATATGAGTGAACATATTCCAGGACACATCATAAGATACCAGTTTTCCGTAATTACCACAACATATTGATGGGGTTCAGATAGTAGGCAACAAATGATAGAGGAATATATATACATATACATATATATAAATATAAATATAAATATATATATACATAGGG